GGCAATTGGTTAAATCTCTGAAACCTTGCCAATCAGTTTTACCATGGTTCAGGAAAGTTCGGCGTTCAGAGGTTATAAAATCGGTTGATATATTTACGGAGACGATGATGGGTACGTGGTCTGAACCAAGAGAAATAACGGGTTGCCAGATTACGTCATTTATCAGACATGGTGCCACAATGGTGGTGTCCGGCGAGCTATGACAATCTTCTCATATCATCCGAAACGTAAAAATCCTTACTGATCGCGGGTACCCATATCATTCAGTTGACATATTTAAAAATTTGGCCCGAAAAATATGTTTTTTGATCGAATTTGATCGCACAAAATTTTCACCTTCAGATGAGTATTACTCTGAAGCTGTGCACACTACATACTTTGACACGAAAACCGTGAAATGAGTAGGTTAGTCACAAATCGATAGAGAACATAGACCTAGACACAGCTTCCACCCAAATAAAGTTTGGAGGTCAATATCATGAAAGGTTTGCAATGACCGATCAGTTAACATATATATATATATATACAGACACATTAATCTGTAGTTTATTCAGAATGCTTTTGTGATTTTGGTGAACTATTGTGGAATTGAACAAACCTATATATATATATATTCTTTTTTCGTTAGTAAATGTTATTACTCGCCATTAATTAATCATAAACATTTTTGTTTAAACATTTAATTAAATAAACCAACATTTAATCTATTCCTCATCATAGTTGGGAGCTGGAGACTTAACTTTGCTCAAATCTCTGATGGGTGAATAGAATTTGTATTGCTTTTCTTTGTATTCTTCCCATGGTTCAGGATTAGCCAAACGATTCCATAAAGTGGGATGAGGGCTGGATTTTTCTTGATCAATTTGAAAACTGAGACCTTGCATGATTACGCTCTGTGACTACAGTATCTTAAAGAGTTTTGTGTGAGTACCTGCCTATTGGCCTAACTCACAGTGGCTGAGCCACAGGCGGAAATGGGCGCACCAGCACCGAAGTGCTGTACCAATGGGAGAGCATGCAAAAAGCACACTCTCCCCCTTGGTGAGGGGCGAACTGTCAGGCTGGATCGACAGATCCAGGGGCTCCCGACACCCGCTGTACGGAAAACCTCCGCTCAGGCCTGAGACCGAAGCCTCTCCCAGTTCGACGCAAGTCCGGGCTGGTATCTTAAAACAAACAATATACGACAGCATTCAATAACCGCAAGCGGCAAGAAAAAACATTGCCCCAGGCAGTGGCGACGTCGAACAAATACACATAATACAAACATGCTGTCCTCACGGACTGCACAAAGGGCCCAAAGGACCACGGCATCGGACATCACAACACATCACAACAATCACAAGAGCAGAAGTGAATCTCGCGTAACGTAAGCGTAACGCGTAACGACATCAGCAGCAACACCAGCGTAACGACATCAGCAGCAACACCAACAACCACACCAACACCCAACGTCACTCGGTGCACCAACCCACCACCACCCGTTGCAACTGATCAAACCCACCTGCAAGGGGGCTATGCGCGAGGACAACCTCCACTAACTGCTGTCCTTTTCCTAAATGCTTCACGAGCAAAACTACTTAAACAACTAAAGGTCCGATCGTCTTCAAGAGCCCTACTGAAACCCACCCCGCCCCCCATTCGATATACCCATACGTGCTAAGTCTCTAATGTCATCATAGTAACAGCATTCCGTCAGTATATGCTTCCAGTCCTCAGTCATCTCTCTCTTTGACGACAGCAGACTTGGTTGACTCGAGAATAAAATTGCAGCTATATTTCCGATTTCTCCAATTTAAATAGTCATTGCACCAAATAAGTGAGCTTTTGCAAATTTCTTCCAATTCCGATCATAAAAGCTACCTGTACTTTGTTTGCCATTTTGTATGGACAGACGTACAAATAGACATAAATCGGCTCAGAGAGTGATTATATGCCTATTCAAAGGCATATCTCGTTTTCTATTGCATATGCAGATATATATTGTAACTATGCAGATATATATTTGAAGATTTAAAGGAAAAGAAAAATAAGTTACAAATTTTTCGTTATTGTTTTGTTGTTGTTTTGTGGGATTAAAGAAAAGTGCTAATTTTTGATGCATGATAACTCCTGACTGAAATATCGGAATACGAAAATTCCAAAGGTGTTAGAAAGGGTACATGTCAGGCTCTCGTATGAACTAGGATTATTGGCTCAACAAAATGGCGGGCTTTTGAAAAAATATTTTTGGGAAATCGCCCATTTTTTACCACAAACCAAGTTAAAGGATAAGGAAGATCTTGACCTATTGGATTTATCCTAGTTCATACGCTAGGTATACACTCAGAGAAACGTCTCAAAATTTGGAATCAATCGTCCCAAAATTTGGAATCAATCGGATTATTAGTTTTTGAGTTATCGTGCCCGCTATTCGCAAAAACGCTGTTTGGAGAAAAATGCGTTTAAAGTTTGAGATGCTAGCACAATATCTCTTCAAGAGTTGTTGAGATTTTGACTTGAAATTACATAGGGACATTCTTGAATTAGGGTAGATTCGAATTAAATCAAAATACAAAATCAACTTTTTTGAAACCGAGATTGGGGGGTCCCCTTAACTTAAAAATAAACAAACTAAAAACTGCATATTTATCAATATTACACATAATCAGCAAATTTGTATACCCTACACAACTATGTTGTCAGGGTATTATAGCTTTGTGCAGCCCCAAAAGTTTGTAACGCAGCGAAATATTGGTCCTAGACCCACCTTTAAGTATACCGATCTCGATCTCGAGTAGCTGAGTCGATCTAGACATGTGTGTCCGTCCGTCTGTCCATTATAATTTGTAAACACGATGCAGGCCACAGTTATGGCCCAATCTTCACGAAATTTTGCATGTAATATGGGTTAATATTTAGGGGATGAAATGGACCAATAACTTTATTTTTGTCTGATTTTCTGGTCGCTCCAGAGGTCGCAATTATGGCGTAAACATCGCGAATTTTTCCATGGAGAAGGGGACCGAGCCAAAGAATAAGCATGTATGTTTTGATGAAGATCTGCCATTATTTAGCGTGTCAAATGGACCCTGACTTTTGTGTGAAAAATGACAAAAATTGTATTCTATGGCCTGAAGGACATAGACCCGAGAAGTTAGTATATCCAAGAGGAGTGGTTGACATTTAAATTGATACCAATTATATTGTCGTATGTGTCTATGTGTTATGATATTGTTTAGTACTAAAATTACCCCACTAGAGGGCGGAAATGTCGCGCTGATCGCTTTGATTTTTTACATAAAGTTCCGGTTATGGCCAATGAATTTTCGGTGATGTTGAGATGGTGCAATAAATCGAAATCTTTATTTTTGTTAGATTTTCTAGTAGCTCTAGAGGCCATTATTATACGCAGAACTTCTCATATTTTACACTGTGAAGGGGATCTGAACAATTACTTAGAACGTGGAGCTGTTGACCTATAATCGGCCAAGAGAGTGCAAATATCTCGAAATTTTTCCCAGGCTCAGAGTATAGAACCACAAAAATTAGAGTCTGGTGGAAGTTGTGTAGGGTTTCATATGGTCAGCCCTGTCCGACTATACTGCTCCGCCCATTGGTTGTAGTTCAGTTGGGTCTGATAAAAATATTTGTAGTAATTAAAATTATATAATTGTTATTATAATAAATTGGATCCATTGTCTTCTCCATTTAAAACAAAGGCCATGTGTCCCCATAACATTATATTCCCACCACAATGTTTAATGGTTTTTGTTCTATATTGCGGAAGGAGTTCAGTATTCGGAGGTCTTCTTACAATGCAAATACTTCTGTCAGTGTTAAATAAATTGACTTTAGTCAATTATGCAAAGGCCAATTTCCATGCTATTTTCTCTCCATGCTAAATTCTCTCTTTTTTAGGTGTTGTTCAGATAACAAATTGAAGTTTTCTTTAAACTGGTAATTTACTGCATTTTGGACCCTTACATATGGCTAACCAATGTTTGAGGAAATTTGTCTGTAGCTTTTGCCTTCATTTTAAAGTGCAGTGTTTACCTCTTCAGTGTTCTCCCAACGAAATCTATATTTGCACTAAATTTGAGAAAATTTGAAATCTAACGGAATTATATACTAAAGAGATATATAAAGTGGCGGTACTTGATTTGAGTTTGATTTATTGAGACTTATCATTTTTTCAATTTATAATGTTTTAACAACAATAAGTGTAAGGAACACTTAAACCTATAATGTATTATTTTAGAATCATTACAAGTTAATGCTACATGCTAATACTATAATTTTACAATTAATTTAATAATTTGGAGTACAGTGCTTGCTCCCGACACTTGAAATTATTTGTAGAGTGGTATCTACAAAAGTGCCGTTACTTGTTTAAAAAGATTTCTTACTATATGAAATTTTGATGTGGTGAACTTTTTTATAGCGAATGAATCTATTTTTTGAACTGCACTGTATTTAAATTTATTCACTCGCGTTAATACTGAAGGTTTGTGGTCTTTAGGCTGACCTTGTCAACGACTGAGCTTACCTCAGTCATTGATAAAACCACTTGATATAAAGAATATAATGTAGTTTGTATTTAATGTCTTGAATTTTAAATTTCCATTTCCTTATTTTCCAATTATATGTCATCGTTGCTAGGTGCTTTGCATTCGAACAATGCATACCAAATATACACGCCGCGTATTTACAACACAGTTAAAAACAAATTAAACATCGGTTTTATTCTTGATGCATTGTTTATTTATCCGCAAAAAGGTAGTAATCAACGAAATATAGATTAGCAAAAACAAGAATAATTTTAGTAACACCATTAATATGTGTAAGAAATAAATGTCATTCAAACAAGCGAAACCACGGCGAAAAACACGACTACGCAACAATCACAATGTACGCATAAATTATATATATACCTATTATAACCTTTAGTCACATTAAGTATTTACTATTACGATAGTTCGGTTGATAATACTATTTGTTATGTTCATATTTTATTACAGTTCCTCCGCTGGATATTCGACTCTTAGGCGCTTATCAACCATTGTCAGCTGGTCGACGATATGATTTATTATGTCAAAGTGCAGGGTCGCGACCACCAGCGGTAATTACTTGGTGGTTAGATGGGATCCGAATGGAAAAAACTACAGAAACGGTAAGAATTTACCATAAGAAAAATTTACGAATCAAGCAAACAAACAGAATCCAATAAAAAACTTAAAATTTTTAAACTTTGTATAAATATTTAATATTCTTACTCAAAATTTCATGTTTCGATTTTTTTCTATAAACATACGATCTGCCACTGTTGAACTTGTTTAATATTGTTTAACTTTGAAAATTCGTACGCCCGACATATTTCGATAGCATGCATATACAGTCATGTATGGTTATAGCGAACTAGTAGCAGGCAAATTAGTACGTTATATCCAAGATGAGCTTAGCAAAAAATATATATTAAAGATATTCGAGCTTGAGGTCAATGTTTTTGTATTTATTTGTTTCCAATATTTCGAAATATTAAGAATTAAATTTTATGAAAATATATCACAGGAATGTATATACTAAAAACATAATACGCATAAAAATGCGATAGTAAAAAGAATATAATGAAAACTGCCATATTGCACTGATTGTTGCTAAAGGTAAGGTCACACTAGGCAAATAGTTGACGAAAAATTTCAAATATTTCTTTTCCACAACAAACAATTTGCCCAAGAAAAACTATTTAACTGTCAAACCACTTTCCTTGGGTGATAAAATTGTGCACTTATCTGGGGTTTTTGGTTAATACTTCCAAACGCACCTACAAATATGTTTGGAATGTGGAAGAATTACAGCCAATTTGATAGTAAAATCTTTATAATATTTAAAAACACAATAAATGGGGAGATACGGTTATATGGAGGTTATATCAAACATGAACCTAAGGACCCCGTTTTCAAACCCAGAAGTTGTTTTCGTAAAAACCATTTGAGCCAAATTTTTGCCAGTATTTGGGTAAGTACTCAAAATGTGTGTACCATTTTATGAGTATAAGAAAACGTGGACCTACGCTGACAAATTTTTCTAAGGATATTTTGTATACATTGAGAGCTCTTTGTGCCAAATAAAAGCCAATTTGATTGAAAATGTGTCTAATATATAAAATACATTCAATAGGGAGATACCTTTATATGGGGGCTATGTCAAAACATGGACCAGAAACAATACCATTCATACCGTTACTTGTTTTGATATAAAAACTACTTGAGCGGAATTTTGGTAGTCTACGTCGAGTGGTTGGGCCAAATATTTACTAATTTGTTTATAGTATACAAAATTTTTGAATTTTTGGAGACGATTTTTACTATGCCACGGGGCCAATTGTGGTGCATACCCTACGACAATCATCGAGTAAAAGCCCTATCCGTATATTCACCCGATATTATTACTTTTGAACAATACTCTCCATTTTTGACCATCGACTAGAATCTGACGAAATTAAATATGTGATCTATAGATATATAAAATAAATCAACATATATATGAAACAACTAAAATCAACCCATCATTCTGAAATATATCCAATTGGCGTTTACATGATATCGAACAAAATTATAATGATAAATCTGGGTCGATCTGAGGCAAACTTAGCATACGCAATTCTGTATGCTATTCGCAATCGGTCAATCGGACGTTGGTTATTTAGTTCAAATCAGACGAAAATATACAGCGTGTAAAAGTGGACATATGTTGGTACATTTTTTCAATAAAAAAATTTCAAGCTAAGATATTTCAACGAAAGTTGGAATGTTTATTCACTATTTGCTGAATTATATCATGGTGCAGAAAAAACAATTAAACTCTGGTAAACGTGAACGATTATAATACATTTCAATCCGCACACATTTGCTGGTGTTTGTTTATGTTACTTTTCAAGTGCCAATTTATAATTTAACGTAATTTTTATTGACTTTTGGTTAGATATCGACTTAGTGTGTACTTGAAAGAATTTTGTGGGCAACTGACAATTTTATTAAAACATAAATGGTTAATTCATTTGTAAACACAACATGAGCAAAATAAGTTTTGAAATTTATGTTCGAATCGCTTAATATTTTGATTTTCGTCTTATACGTGCAAAAAGTTCGAATAGGGTTGTTTTTCATTTTACTTATATTTTATAGCCCTTAAACATTTATATTCCGTTCGCATCCATTAAAGATATTGTAAGGGTTAGATGGAGGAATTTAATAACACCTGTACACTTTTGCTCACCACTGCATATGTCAATATCTGGAATGTGTAAGGCAATAGTCTGCAAATCTAAACCGATTTAAAGCAAACATAACACGCATCATTGTAGAATTATTTCAGTACTCTGTGCAAGTTGTCGTTTCAATCGGATGCTATATCAATGGTAGCTATATAAATCTGATCTTTTTTTATATATGGGTACTAAACCTGAACCGATTTTCACCAATTTCAACAGATTTTGACTTTGGGCCCAATATTTTATACAATTTGTATCATAACTGCGAGCTGTGCTTTTTCACAAGAAAACATGGGCGGACATTCATAAATTAACTCAGTGATTCTATGCATATCCTCATAAGTAACTAAAGACCAACCTCGTTTTCTTTTGCATGTTACAAACTTTTACACAAAGACGTAATACACTGTACCACATCTGGTATAACAATTAAATTAAACTGTTTGTAGTATTTTAAGGGTACTGTCAACAATAAAAAATGAGAGCCTCTGGGTTTTATCTTTTGAGATAAAAATCACAAAAAACGTTCACTCATCAAACAGAGATTAAACTACCTGATCTCATAGTAAGAGGGTAAATTAATTTTGTTGTATATTCTCGAAATAATCGTCCATTTGAACCAAAAAATAACAGTAGGGTCGTAACAGGATGTTTCAATTCAATTAATATTTTATAGTAAAGAATACAATCACCCTAAACACTCATATTCCAATGAAATTTTTGTTGATAATTTCGTTTTTAACACAGACGTCTAGTGATGGAAACCAAACAACAAGTACGCTATCCATATCATTCAACAAAAATGATGCTGGTAAGTTACTCACTTGTAAAGCATATAACCATGCCACGTCTTCTGAACCTCTGGAGGATGGTTGGAAACTGGAAATTCAATGTAAGCATTAATATTGATATACATATCATCATTATTTTCATAATTCTTTATGGATATACATTTTTTCTGTATAACTTGGGCAGTGTAAAAACAAATTTTAAATATTTTCGAAATTAAATATTTTCGAAATATTCAAATAGATGACATCGTATAAAAATTAAACAATTTATTTGAACACGATAAAACATTTCTTTATTTAACCTTTGCAATTAGACCGAAGTTAGTAGTTTAGTACTAAAACTAAGAATTATGATATAGAGAGCTGTCGTAGTCACTTGTTGAAATATTCATAAAGAAAATAGGCGTTCAGTCTAGATTTCTACTTCCTTAAATAAACATTGTGTTTTTTGTATAAAATATAAACTGTGTTTTCCTCCATTCCCCCAATATCCCAACATATTGTCGACGAGGATTTTGGAATTATTGGAATCTCAAATCTGATTTATTAATTGAAAAATTATCCAACAGCATTTTGGAATTTTTCTAGGATGAAACAGAAGATCAATGCGGAAGTTAAATTCAAGTGAATGTAGCAAATATGCATCATTTATCTTACCCAAGAATCCGAGGGTATATCATCTGTCGATTCGGTAAAAATCTTAAAATAAATATTTGGATTACAAGAATCTTTGTTCAGCACAAGATACAAATATTTACAAATAACTATGAAACGTCAAGAATATTTGGTTATCTTTGCAGCAAGGATGAATGCAGCACATGAGTACTTAAACTCTCTGAAATTACTCCAGACTAGTTTAACACTAGATTGCCGAAGGCTGTCATTTTGACCGCTTTCCAATTTCAAGTACAAAACCATCTGTGCATTTAATGAATTTTTTTTAAATTTGGTGACTTTTTATACCACATAGAATTACGTTTATTATAAAAAAGTCACCAATTTTTTAAAAAAAAGTGTCATTAAATGCACAGTTGTTTTTGTACTTGAAATTGAAATGCGGTCAAAATGACCGCCTTCGGCAATCTAGTGTTAAATGTGCCGTATTTGTTTGTGGTCTTCAAGCGCATAACGATTCAGCAGTTCGAAGGAGATGTTTATCGTCATTAGAGAATGATTCTAACATGAAGCATGATACACCCATGCTACAAGAAAATTCACAAACAAATATACCTGTTGAAAATCGTTTCATAACCATTGGAAAAATCTGAATGCAAAAGTTCCCGAAACACCATGTAGGAATTGTGGGGAGATGCAGTTCCCAATGCAAGGTCACAGGACATAAGGAAGGTTATTGTAAGACTAAAAGACAGAGCAAATCGAGACAACTTCGGAAGAACTTTTATCATCACAAGAAATCAAATTCGCCTCGTACAAATTTTCTTTTAAATCAATCGAATGTCGTCCGTCTCTAATCGTAAATTCGATATGGTCACAATTAGCCCAAATTCGCCATCGGAAAAAATGGATCATAATATAAAAATTCAAATCGACACAATATCAGACATTTCATTTTATCAGTAAGGAACTCTGGGTTGAAGTGACAAATTCAGGTTCCCAATGCAATAACAATTTCGTGACAAGTGCTTCCAAAAACAGAATCAAGGTCTTAGCAGAGTTTTCGTTACACTTAACTGATTTTGTTGTCAATTGCAAACAAAGCAATCGCTCAATTTGAAACTGGCGAAAATCAAATCGGAATACAGTGATGTGTTTCAAGACACTTCATCTAAATGTTCAGAGACATAAGTAAAACTACATCTAAAAAGACCAGTCGCTTAAGCAATGCTTCCATTGAGGTAACCCACACACAAGAAAATGTAAAATTTGAACATTCAAAGAAATTCTCAACTCGGAACTATTGTTGACGCATTACAGTCCTTCCCTACCAATCAAAGTTGCAGCGGTTGCCTCAGAAAAAGTCATAGGAGCATTCATTTGCCACATTTTTCTGATGGAAAATGTTTCTTATACATGGACACCGGCAGAGGAAAACTATTCTCAAATAGAAAAATAAGCTTTAGGATTAGTTTATGGAGTACATCTATGGAAGAGGGTTTATTTTATATACAGATAATAAACTCCTACTTTCAATTTTTGTCATTAAAAGGGGGATTGCGGCGTACGCAGCTAACAGGTTACAAAGATGGGCATTGACACTTATGATGTACATTTTCGACGTACAAGACATTAACACCAAGGATTTTGGATGAGTGGACATGTTATCAAGACTTATCAATAATACCACAAAACCAGAACATAGGTTAGGTTAGGTTGGGGATATACGGTTGTGGACGGTTGTTACAGTCCACTCGGAAACTATGTCCATTGTGATCATCCTTTATGTATAGGAATACCTATAAAGAAAAGAAAAAATATAGTGGAAGAGTAGAGAGAAGAATAGTGAGAAAAAGGGGGGCGGAAGAGAGATTATTTTAGCCAAGTCAATTGTTTCCAGTTCTTCTTCGTCCTCACATAGACGACAGTAATCCTCTCCACTGGAGTCCCACTTAGAAGTGAGAGATCTAACTTTGCAGTGACCAGTAATAATCCCCACAACGATTTTGATCTCCCTCTTGCTGTGATCCAGCAGCGAAGACGTTCTTTTGCGAGAGAATTCTGGCCAGATAGATTTTGAGCAGGCAAGCAGGTCCCTTAACCATCTGTTACCGACTACCTCGTAATGGAACGCACGGATTCTCGTCGGCTATCTCATTCCCTTCAATATCGTTATGTCCTGGAACCCAGCATAGCCCAACTATTTGTCGTATATCATTCAGAGCGGTCTTACGATCATGAACTGCTTTCGAGTTTATACTATCCGCCTTCACCGCTTTCAGGGCCGCCTGACTATCTACATAAATAGTCACCGGTCCCGTAATGTCGGCATTAAGTGCTTTTACTATCTCGGCCGCTTTCGTGATTGCGAGAATCTCTGCTTGAAAAACGCTACAGTCATTGTTGAGTTTATATGAGTTCTGTATACCTAATTCCCTACAGTAGACGCCTGCACCAGTGCCTTCCTCCATCTTGTACTCGTCTGTGAAGATTGACAGACCTGGCAGAGGTAGGGAGCCACTAGTCCAGGATTCCCTACTAGGAAATTCATTTTTGATGCCATTAAAGTCCCTATGGGTGGGAATATAATCACTTATATGACTATCCCCCCTAAAAAGGTCATAACCTGGCGTTATGTGTAGGATGCTGGCATGACCATAGTTCAGCGATTTCAAGGCATCTGTTTCCCGGAGTCTCAGGGCACACCTGGCCGCCTGGAATTTGATCAGAATATCCAAAGGTTGGAGATTCAAGATTGCATTCAAGGCTGCCTGTGGTGTACTTCTTAATGCTCCGGTGATCAGAATTGAAGCCGATCGCTGTACTAAGTTCAGTTTTGTCAGAAGCTTCTTTTTGTTCACCCCCTGCCACCAGACAAGACAACCATACGTAAATATGGGTAAAACAATCGTCGTATACAGCTAGTGTATAATTCCGGGTCTCAATCCCCAACTCTTGCCTATGGACTTCTTGCATGAATAGAGTGCCAGCAATCCCTTAATGGAGCGTTCCTCAACATTCCTGTTCCACAGTAACTTGCGGTCTAGGATAGTGCTAAGATATTTAGCTTCATCAGAAAGTGTTAAAGTCACTCCATCAAATGATGGCAAGCGGAAACTAGGAATTTTGTGTTTCCTAGTGAAGAGCACAAGTTCGGTTTTAGTGGGGTTTACACCAAGACCTTTGGTGCAAGCCCAATTTGACAGGGTTGAAAGGGCACCCTTCAGGATGTCTGATATTGTCGTTATAAACTTACCCCCAACCAGCAAGACTACATCATCGGCATTGGCTACAACCTTTATCCTGAGATGATTGAATTTCATAAGTATCTCATTTATCACCAGAAGCCACAAAAGGGGGGAAAGTACTCCTCCCTGAGGTGTGCCTCTGTTGACAGATTTCCTCACGGAACTCTCTCCTAAGGATGAGTTGATAATTCTGCTTTCCAGCATTCTATCAATCCATTCCGTAAGGAGTGAGGGGATACCTATGCCTACGAGAGCATTGCTGAAAGCTCCTTTGATAACTTTGATTACTAAGTTTACTACGGTCAATGGTATTTCTAATTTCTGAGTCTAGTAACCTTTCTAAAGTTTTTAGTAGAAAGAAAGAAAGGCTAATCGGTCTATAGTCTTTAGGTAACGTATGACTCGGCTTCCCGGCTTTCGGGATGAAGGTCACGGTAACCTCTTTCAATAGACACGGTATGTACGACAGAAGTAAACAAGCTCTAAAAGTGTCCTGCCCATTTCCTCCAATAGGCGGCATACCACAGTACCGGGCGTGTCAGGAGTCTCATAGGGAAGATAGACGGCAGAGACTATCAGTGGCTTCGAGGTACCTCTGTCTAGTCTTGCTGCCGTCATATCTCCATCGCTGAAATTAGAAAGAAGCATTAAATTTAGTTCTTTTTTTTAGCAAGAATACACGTTCTCACCTTCTCTCCATTGGAGGTAGGCAAAATCGTGTATTTTATGTCGCTCAGTCCAGTCACCTTGCCTTTGTATAGGTAAGGCTCCTGAATGAGCGCCACGTCGATGCTTGAGGAAGAGAGGGTGAGTAGCAGTTCAGCTAATCCAGAACATAGTTATAGCATGCGTAACACGAGAAGCTGAGCATCGTGCAGCATCGCTGCAAGATCATTTCAACGAAATGCCTGTCACTTGCAATTCGGTAAAACAAGCAACGCAGACAAATTCAACTTCACAGAGGGTACTAAAATCTATTCAACATGGTTGAAGTTTAAAATTATCACGAGATCTGGTCTAATATCATTCAAGGAGAGATAGTTTGTCTTTCATTCAAGACTTCATCATGTTTATCGAAAGAATCGTAATTCCTGAGAGTCTTAGACCGCATATATTAAAACAATAATCAAAGTCCCAAATATTACAACGACTGCAATGCTTGTTTAATTAACCGATAATGTTTTCAAGTTATGGGATTTGTGATACGATAGTGCCCAATTTATAAACGATTATTTCAA